CAATCGCAACGCCGGCCCATAGCGGCCGCAACGCCCAAGGAAAATAGTAAAAACAACTAGAAACCATTTGCTTCCCTTTTCTTTGGCCACCACCCCAACCCCAACCCCGGGCGCGCCACTGGTGCGGCCGCGCCCCTACGCAGGGCTAGGCGTTCGTTTAGCCACACGAACCCCGCACCCGAGCACTGCAGCAGGCCAAATGGAGACCAAGACGGCCTTGCCTCTCGGGACTTTTTTGTGGAGCGCCAGGCACGGGAAACAAAACAGACCGCCCGCAGATCGGCTGGCGAAACTGCAAGGCCGTTTCGTTGCTGCCACCCAGCGGGCATCGCCCCCCCGCTGTGGCGTCCTCAAGAACCCGGACCTCTGGGGGGAGGGCTTCAAATTTGCTTGGAAGTGGCGCGCTGCAAGCGTGCTGTGCGTCAAGAGCGTAGCCCTTGCTGCGCGATTGGCACGGCACCAATACGGCATCATTATCCCTCCAGGAAGTCAAGAACTAAAGCGCCACAGCGACAAAGCCTATTGGACACAGCGCGCCCCGCCAGGTCCTCAGTGGACGCGTTGGGAGAGCTGCCGCCCCGGCCTGCCACACCTCGCCGCGCAAGCACCGGAGCCGCCTCTCCCTGGCGCCGGCACCCCCCCCCCCCCCAAGGCGATTACCGTACGCGTGCCTCTGCCTGCCTTCCGTACCGCATGCGCGGAGAGCTTTTAGGACGCCCCCTCCTACCTCAGGCGTCAGCCCATGTTGCTTACATTTCGAGCGTTTTTTGGCGGCGCGATTGCGCGGCCCTTGCGGCGGGCGCATCAGAACAACACTCGCAAAGTGAGCAGCATGGGCCGAAGCCCGGTGCAGAACTCTTTGGTGCGGCCTTAACCGGCGTGGGCTTCAAATTGGCAAATGACCCAGTGCAGGCCGCGCGGCTCAGTGGCTGCAAAGGCGGGGGCGTCGCAGCACACCGCGCGCTCATTTCTGATGGGGCATGTCCTCAGCGTGCTGCTCCGTGGGGGCGAGGCGATTGCCTCATGCCCGGTCCCTGCGCGCCCCCGCGGCCCGGAAGCGAGCCATTGCGAAAGCAGCGAGGCGTTTCGTGGCCTAAGTGTGTCTACGGAGGGCGCGCCCGTCCGTTCTGGAGGCCCACCTTTTCCCTGCCACGGAAGATGCTTTAGCCCCGCGCACTCCCGCAACACAAACGCCACGCCACGCACACACACCC